GGAGGTTCTGCTTTGGATAGTCGAGGTATAGGAGGTTTTTACGGATTGTTTTCATACACTGAGGGAAAAATTATCTTAAAATCAACAAATATATTTTTGATGCTATTAACATATTTACTTAAATCTAAATTCTCTTTATTTAAATCAAATATTGTTTACCTAATTTAAGTAAACAATATTTGGTTTAAATAAAGAGAATTTAGATTTATAAATAAATATGTTAATGGCACCCATCAAAGAAATATTTGCTGATTTCAAAGTAATTTTTTCATCAGTGTAGAAATATAAATAAAGATGTTGGTACAGAGTTTTGACCATATTATTCATCATTGTTTTAAGTATAAAAAAAAATGATTTTGAGAAATTGAGATTCTGTTCAAGTTTTTGTGCTAGGCCAAATGCTTCTAACTAGCAGATAACTTTGCAGCTTGTGTAATAATCAAAAACAAATAAAATAAGAAAATTCAAAAACTTCTTACGTATTAAATTTGCTAAAAAAATGAACGTAAATCCTTTGGTAAATCTCTAAAATTAATATTTTTACACCAGAACTCTACAAAAAAAAAAAAAGAGAGAGAAAAGGGAAAAATTATAACTCTGAAGTGGCGCTATTTCGTTAAGTTTTTACTTTCTGCATATAACAAAAGATCCATTTTTCTTGTCCCATTTGTTTCAGATTATTACACGAACTGTAATGTCGCCAATTAAAGGCGGCCAACGTAAAGAATGTGGACGTAAAGAATATCAATTTCTAATATAATTTTTTTATAACTAAAATAATGATATGGATAGTACATACACATTATCAAAACTTTATATCGATATCTTTATCCATTTCTTTGAAAAGAATTCATAATAATCTCCTAATGTGTGTGTGTATATTTCGAGTATCTAAACCAAAACCTCCTTTTAAGAGGTTATAGGACCGTGATAATAAAAATAAAATAAAATTTTGAGAGTTAGAAAAAGTTATTTAAAAAAATAGATTTTACAGTATATTAACATCACTATGTTCATTTCAATTTTGTTCTGTAAAAGAATCACGTTTCAACAATATCTGATCGACTAGATATTCTTAGTATATGTCTTAGTACACGTCTTAGAAGACATTCTAAGACATTTGATTTCATTCTTCAATCGAGACGAACCGCCGCGCGTACGAGAGAAACGATTCACTTTAGTGATATCAATGCGCTACTAAAGATTACTATCCATTATCACCGCTATACACATATAGTATAATATCAGAAGACAGATACAGAGAGAAAGAGAGTAGGGGG